AGTGCCCACAGCCCAGGCCGGTGCTGCAGGGATCCCAGCCAGGGACAAGCGGCTACTCTGTGGATACACTGTGGGGGCGGCCCTGACCGCTCTGAGCGTGAATCCCAGCAGACAGGGCAGGTTCCTGTCCGATTTGCCAAGTGGGGAGACGGAGGCCCCGAGGGAGGAAGTGGCATCCCCAGGAGACCAAGACCAGGAGTGGAGCAAGGACTCCCGCTGCCCGAGCCTCTCTGCCCAGGTCCTGCCTCTGCCCAGGTCCTGCCGTTTCACAGAGGAGGCCGGGCCGGGAAGGGACTCGCCCAGGTGCCAGCCAGGGAACGGCCCAGGGCTTGGTGCGGGAGGAGGGGACTCTGAGGGGCACAGCTGTCCTCAGCAGCTGCCCGGGCGCCAGGCCCTCCTGACGGCCCAACCGAAGGCTCAGCCTGCCCAGCCTGCCTGCTTCTTCACCCGCCTGTGCCCCACCAACCACCAGGGCTGGCACTTGGGGAGGTTTGTGGAAGGAAGGCGGGCCCTCCCAGACCCGGCTGAGCCGGGAACATCTGGTGAAGCCATTGGGTGGTCTTGCGACCTGGGTCTCCCGTCCTGTGTCTGCCCAAGAGGAATGCGGTGTTTGCAGTGTCCAGACCCCACCTGCCCCGGGGAGAGGGGCGAGCAGGTGGGCCTGGCATGGAGCGGTGGCGGGAAGACAGGACTGGCAGTGTCTGGGGGCTGCTGGGACACACCCTGCGACGGGCATACAGCTCAAAGCCATCGGGACCCCAGATGCAGGCAGCACCCTGCACAGCCCCGGGGTGCATTGTCCAAGGGGCAGCACCGAGGCCCGTGTCTGTCAGTGCCCGGGAAAGGGCTGGATGGCAGGTGTGCGCTCCCTGCACCCAGGTGGACAGGGTCTCGGGCTACAGGACCCAGCTTCGCAAAGAGAACGTGGCCTCGCAGCCCTTGAGCAATGCAGCCAACGCGGGGCCAGGGGGCACCCGGTCACCCATTGTGGGAAGGCCAGCGTTCGGCCTGTGCACCAGGGTCCTGGCTTCGGAGAGTGCTGTCCGTCCTCGGGCACCGAAGGCGTCTAAGGTCCAGGCTCAGTCGGGTCAGAGGGCGGGATGCCCCACCGTTCGCACGGAGGGAGCTCGTGAAAACTACCACTGACGGCCCGGCAGGCGGGGCTCAGTGGCTGAGCATCGATCTGTGGGCCAGGAGGTCACGGTCCATTCCCGGTCGGGGCACAGGCCCCGGGTGTGCGCTCGATCCCCAGTTGGTGCAGGAGGCAGCCGATCTATGATACCCTCTCATCATGGATGTCCTCTCTCCCGTC